AGAAAAAGGAAAAAGTACCGGCTGCGTGTCTGGGTGGAAAGTGCTGGCTCGAGCCCGGCCGTCCCCGGCGTGCACCGCCGCCGCGCCCCGGGTCCCTCCCGCCCGGCCCCGGCCCGTCCCGCCCCGCCGGCCCTCGGGAGCCCCGTCGGGAGGAGACCTGGGCGGAGACCTGGGCGGGGGGCGTCTTTCTCGGAGCCCTCGAGGGGGACGTGTGTTGTCTTCTTGGTCTTTTGTGAGGATGCCCGGTGCTGGTCACAGTTGGGATCCCGAGCCCGTTTTTTTTTTTCCTCTGGTTTTTTCTCTGCAGCCCCCACTGGCCTGATTTGAAACTAGATTCCCCCCCCCCCCCCCATCTCCCCTTCTCCTTTCTTCCCCGCCCCCCCTCTTCTCCCACTTGTCATGTTTGCATTCTCTTGCCCTTGATTACTTTTAATGAAGATAAAGCATGGTCTCTTGTGGGGCTCCCTATTACCACCACCCCCCCCACTAACCAGAAATGCCCCATCCATCTTCCCTAAAGGAAATTAAGGCCCCTTTAGGAAGACATCATCCTGTGCTTTCTAGCTGTTAGACACCTTTGCAATGTTTTTTTTTAAAGATCCATCGCTTTTTTTTTTTAATTGTGTGTTCTTGAGCGTCTCCTCAGATATTTTTAAAAGTGCAGAAAGAAATCCAAGGGCTCACCCTCTCACCATCTCAGTGTTCCCCCAGATTTTAAGCGCTTCTGAGTTTTTAATCCCTGAGTATTTGAACAGTACAGGTCTGAAGACGTGATCATGGGTCTGGATACTGGGAATCTTAAGTATTTGTCCTTATTCAGAACAATTTGGATGCTCCTTGTGCTTTGGGGTTTCATGTGTCCACAGATGAGGAAGATGGAGTGTTTTCATATATAACAACCTTGTTCTGTCTCCCCTAGGATGCAGTATATTTTCCCCAAAATCAGGTGTTGTGTTAAAGGTTTCCTGTATAAATATCCTTAAGTTAACTGCTGGGTATTACTAGGTGTTGTGCATATAATATAAATCATTTTATTTTACATTTTAGAAAAGTTTGGAAATGGGAATAGGAAGACTTGCAAGACATAGGTGACAGAATTAAATGTTTTCTTTCAGTAAAAGTGCATATAAACGGTTGTTTTGTGGTTTCTAAGCTGCAAGACCTGATTATAAAGCTTACTTTTATATAGTGTGGGCTTATGGAGGGAATATCGTTGTTTTTGTGTTGTTGACAGTATTTGTAGCCAGACCACTTCGTCTGTATGGAAGGTGTGCCTTTCATTCATATATGTAGCTAATTTCTAAGGACTGTAGTTTCAACAGAGAAGTAATCAAGCTTAGGCAATTTATGAGTTGAAGATGTAAGTTTACAATATGTAAACTCTTTAAAATATAACATACATTATGAAAATCTACTGCTTAATGTTTCAGTGAGTATGAGTTAAAAATTTTATCGATCTATTTACCTTATCTTTGAAACTGCCATAGGAGAGTAATTATAATCCTGGAGTTTGTCTTCCTTCTAGATTTCATAATTGGATCAGACAAGCTTTTTGGGAATCAATTTTAAAATACTAATTCAGAAAATGATAAAAAATTTTAATGTAGGAGGTTTTACTTTAAAGAATTTGTAATTTAAAGAAACAAGGTACCACATTTAAAAGTGGAATGTTTTTCATTAAAAAATTGAAATATATTTGGACTTTTAAAGCCAGACATGAAGCATACTGATATAAATGTCAGTATTCTATTAAGTGACTTTAGTGCTCATAAAAGATGTCATAGCTGTGGAGACTGATGGTCTCCATTTACAGAATAGGTAGAGACAGTAGTCAAATTTTCTATCACTGTGTTTCAGAGCAGTTTGTGCAGACTTATTTTTCTTTGGCATGATGGAAGAAAGCTCTCGGTTGAGAGTGGTAATCTGTGGTGTCTAAAGGCATTTAGTATTTTCTTCTGGTGATTCTATGACATACTAATACATCAAAGATTATTGTACCATATTTACAAAGCAGCATTTTGAATTTATCATTTTTGAAAAAGACAAGTACCAATCACTCAATGGCCAAGTTTTATTTTAAAAAGAATGCAGCCAGAAGCCAGTGGCTCATGCCTGTAATCCTACTCAGGAGACTATGATTTTAGGATTGCAACCTGAAGCTAGTCAGAACAAGAAACTCTATAAGACTCTTATCTTCAATTAACCAGCAAAAAGCTAGAAGTGGAGCTGTCTCAAGTGGTAGAGTACTAATCTCAAGCAAAAAAAAGCAGAGAAATAGTACCCAGGCCCTGAGTTCAAGTGCTAAAAAATATATACATATGTGTGTGTATAAGTACAAAATAAGTGCATTAAAAAATTCTCTTAAAAGAGCATTACAAATGTAGGAGAGAATGTAGAAATGACCAATACTGGTCATACAAATACTGATTATTCTAGAAAGGAAATTTACAATAAAAAGGACATGGTCTTTAGATGGATGATTGTCAAAAATAAGTGTAACAACACATCTGGTAAGGATAAGCCCTCGAGAAACATGTAGAAAAGTTGGGTAATACCTACCAATATTGCAAGTGAATCTCCCATGTGATCTAAGCATTGAACTTGTAGAGGTACTCAAGGTAGTATACACCAAGAAAGCATCTTGTTATCTGTGTTTTTGTTGGCCCACACATTCCCACATGCAATAGGAGAAATAGTAAGTGATTAGGAAGCTGTAGCTTTCAATATGTGGAAGTTGTAAGGAACTCATTAACTATGTTGAGATACAAAGAGATCAAAACAAAATGCAGAATAACTATGGTTGGACAGTAGACTGTGAAACTGTCACACCAGCATAGTGAGAAGTAAAGTAGGTGCTGAGGATAGTGCTCCTCCACCACTCAGACACCAGCAGGTAGCAGACAGAAAAGCAGGACAGCAGGCATCTCCTGAAGACAGTTTGACACAATACAAAATCATCTTGCCAAGAACATGAAACCTGGATGTGGTTATGTGTTTGAACGAAACCGAGGGACATCAAATCCCAGACTATGGGAAAGTACAGAAGGGATGGCATGATTCCCAGAGAAAGAGCTAGAAAATAACTGAGAGAAGGCACGTAATTTCAAAGATGCTTAAATGATATACCAACCAATTTCAAATATTGGGCCTTAAATAGATCCTGAATTTAGCAAACTGTACAGTACTTGTTAATAAACAGAGGAAAGTAAAATTGGATTGTTATAACAGGAAATCATATTTTAATTCTGATTGCAGTAAATACAGCATTGTTATATAGGGGTCTTTGTTGTGGTGTGTGTGTGTGTGTGTGTGTGTGTGTGTGTGTGTGTGTGTGTGTGTTGTGTCAGTTGTGGGGCCTGAACTCTGGGCCTGGGCGCTGTCCCTCAGCTCCTCAGCTCAAGGCTAGTGCTCTACCACTTGGGCCACAGCACCACTTCCACCCTTTTTTGCTTATCTGGTGCAGAGGAATTGAACCCAGGGCCTCATGCATGCAAGGCAAGCACTCTACTACTGAGCCACCTTCCCAGCTCTCTGTAGGTTTTTTATTTGCTTTCTTTTTGCAGTGCTGGAGCTTCATATGTGCTATATAAGTGCTCTACCACTAAGTTCAGTTCTAAAGTGTTTTTAAAAGTCTTTGTCATTTCTTGGAATACATTTCAAAGGAACTTTTTCATTTCAAGTGAACTCCAAGATATGGAAACAAGAGTTTTTATTTTGTTGTTTTCTGTTTGTTTTTTAATGTATTGTGTGAAGTTCTTTATTCACTTTTTTTTCCTTTGATTTATCCTCTGTCTCTGAGCCTCTTTGTGCTCTACTCCTTACGCCACAGTGCCACTTTCAGTTTTTGAGTGGTTAATTGGAGATAACAGTCTCACAGGGAGATTTCTGCCTGACCTGACTTTGAACCATGATCCTCAGATCTCAGCCTCCTGAGTAGCTTCACTGAGGTTTTTGATGTTGTTGTTTGTTTCTTGTTTTTTTTGTGCTAGTACTAGGGCTTCTAGACACTGTCCTTTACCTTTTATACTCAAAGCTGGAGCTCTAGCACTTAAGTCACAGTTCCACTTCCAACTTTTTGGTAGTTAATTGGAAATAAGAGTCTCACAGACTTTCCTTCCAAAGTTAGCATCAAACTGCAATCCTCAGATTTCAGCCTCCTTAGTAACTAGGATTACAGGGATGAGCCACTGATGCTTGCCTCTCAACCTTCTTGTATCCAGCCATTAGCAAAGTGGATCGCACCAATCCAAGGCTTCAAGTACTTGTCTCTTGAGTTGCTAAATAAACTGAAAGATACTTACAGCTCATATCAAAACAGCATGTATCGGCACAGCATGGTATTTACAATAGCAGCAGGAAACCTGGATTCATAAGTAGGGAGTGTTTATGATTATTAGAGTTCCAGGACAAAACATGGAATTCAACACCAACTTTATACTACCAAGCAGAGTCAACATGTAATAGATTGCCTTCTAGCAATAGAGTAATGGCTATATTGAACTTAGTGTCTCTTCCTGCCAGGCAAGTGTTCTACCAATTGACCGATGGACTAGTAGACCTTTTTATTATCGTCTGTTTTTCAAATGAAGTCAAACATTTTTCCCAGGTAGTCTCAAACTGTGATGATCTTGTCTCTGCCTCTAAAGTAGTTGGGATTGCTGGTATAAGCACCATATCCATGTCCCTAAAAGATGTCTTGAATGCAGATTAATACCCTAAGGGTTCCCTAACTAAGAAGTAACTGATTTTGCTCAGAAAGCCAATGCTGGAACTTGAGTGAGTGAGGGCATCTGTCCAAGTACTCAAGACATGCCCACATGTAAGGGATATTTGACTGCCAGTATCTTTCTGCCATGGCTTTGTTTTCTAGTATTCTGTGATAGATTAGTGACATAGAGCACAGCAGGTTCAAAGCAAAGAAAGAATGAGTACAAGGGCATCTTAGATGATACTCTTAGAATTATTTATGTGATCCTGTTAATTGCTTTTAACCAGAACCCTGTGACCCTGTCAGGGAATGCCTACAGACGCCCATACTCCAAGACTTTTCACTGGAAATGTGGAATTGTCACCAACTTACTTTGGCTTTTCAACCTTAAATGCCACTTTAGAAATCATCTGTCTGAGGCACCCCAGTGGGTGAGACAATGAATCACCGTGCACACAGTCCCAGTTCTCATCCCTTTCCTGGAATCCAGGGGGCACTCTGTATACTCAACTTTACTCATCATCCCCCTTCCTTAAACATGGAAAAGTTCACATTCTGTTAAAGAAATAAATCTGAGAGGAAAAATGAAAGAATTTTTCATGACTTCCTCGAGCTCCTTTATTTTGTTAATGATATTTTCTACCCAAGAAGGTGTTGTTCTCTTGGGTCTTAAGGAATGCATGCTGTCTAATACCACGAAGGAGGAAGAAGACACCAGTGTTAAATTGGCCCACTTGAGAAACTTCGTCATCAACATAGACAAGTCTCGTTAGGCTAACTCAGTGGTTTTTCATCACAATCCTGTTCTTTTGGACCCACAGTCAAACCTCTTTTCTCAGACCTTGAAATCCTCCAGGGCCTCTCTGCAGGAGAGAAGTCAGAGGTTCTCTGAGAAAGATGCAAGAGAAACAAACGCCGTGACTCTAAAGTGAAGACTCTGTTTCCATGGCCTGCCCCAGTGTAGACCGGAGGCATGACAGACTGAGTGACAGAACAGATCGCAGGAATGCATTCCATTATCTTCGGAATCACAGACCCATAAAACATCTGGCTTCCGGGTGCATCACCAACATGTGGGCCAGCAACTCAAATCTGCTTCGTTCTGACGGAAAAGACAGTATGCTTTTATGTGTAAGTTAGAGGGAGGGGAATTTCAAGGAGTTTTTCTTATTTTCTAACGTGTCCTTTCTACGTTCTTATCATTCAGTTTCTTTCATTTACCAAATGAGATGCTTTCTTGTACAAAATGAGATTCGTTATTTATTTATCTAATGATTTGTTTAGGTGCTGGCATGAAAAAAATAACTTTTAAATGTCTTTTGTTAATTGGTATTTAATATTATTGTTATGGATTGATTGATTTGCCATTGAGCTAGCTCATGTCTGTGATTCTGTAATTCTAGTCAACTTGTGCGGAGAAGATAGGAAGACGACAGTTCAAAACCAGTCTCAACAAACATGCTGGGCATGCTAATTGAGCCACATAGTCCTACATAATTTAAGTGGTGGAACTAGAAAGATTGAAATTCAAGGCTGGTCTAAGATAAAAGCATGAGACCTGATCTAACATACAAACTAAAGTATAAAAGACTTGAGGTGTGGCTCAAAGGATAAGAGTGCTTGCCTAGACAGCAGGTGGTCCTGAGTTCAAATCCTGGTACTGCCAAGAGAAAAAGAAGCGAATGAAAGTCCAAAAAGTAGATATTAAATACCTCATAATACTCAAGTCTTGAAAGTTAAAGATCAATGTATGTTCCCTTTGAAACCTGTAGTGGAGAATCCTGGCAAGGGTTAGTCAGGGAGTTTTGAAACCTGATTGCTTAGAGGGATGGCATGTTAATAGAATAACTGAGACACAACAGGGTCTCCCTAACCCATATGCTCCACAGCTGTGCAAAGAGCCCAGGTGTGACCTTCCAAGGTCAGCATTCCCTTGTCCCATGTGTATAGAGACTTGGCAAGGCATAACCCAAGTTAATAGGCATGAACCCAGTTTTCCTGGACTGACCACTATGGCCACAGATAAGAGTTTGAGGATCTCAGGACCTCCAGTACAACACTTCTTCTTGAGCCTACTCTCCTAGAAGGTGCTATAATAAACCTGCTCCTGATTCAGTAGCTTTGTGCCACCTTTGAAGTCTTTCATGAAGAAGAGCTGTGTGGCCCTCCAGAACTGGTGGCCTGAATTTGGTGACACTTCCTTGCCTGTTTCAGCGTTCTGACATATTGTCAGCCATCTTTGCCTGCCCTTGGTCTCTGGTTGGTATCATTCCACTCTATCATCTTTTTTGTTGTTGTTGTAAGTTGTGGGGCTTATACTCAGGGCCTGGTCACTGTCCCTGGGCTTTTTCACTCATGGCTACCTCACTACCACTTTGGGCCACAGCCCCATTTCTGGTTTTCTGGTGGTTAATTATAAGAGTCTCACAGACTTTCCTGCCAGGGCTGGCTTTGAATCATTAACTTCAGATCTCAGCCTCCTGAGTAGCTAGGATCACTCCACCATCTTCACTGCCTATTCTAGGGGCTTGAACTCTGGTTCTGGGTTCGGTCCATGAGACCAATTTGTGCTCAAGACTAGCACTTGAGCCACAACACTACTTCTGGCTTTTTCTGAGTAGTTTATTAGAGACAAGAGTCACATGGACTTTCCTGCCTGGGCTGGCTTTGAATTGTGGACCTCAGATCTCAGCCTCCTAAGTAACTGGATTACAGGCATGAGCCACTACACAGGACTTGTCTCTGTCCTAATTTCTCCTTTTTATAAGCATACCAGTCTTATTGGGTTAGAACTCAAACTAATGACCTCTTTGCTACTAGATCAATTCTGTAAGACTAATACTTAGTATTGAGAGTTCACTATGATGTTCTAGGGGTTAGGAATTTCAAGTTTCCTTTTGAGAGGCACAATTGAACTCAAAAAAAAAAAAAAAGGAATGGGTTGCAAAATCTGGGAGCCATTGTGAAATTTTATTCACACACCAATTTTCAGGTGACTTGTTCAAAGAAGAAAAATACAAAATTCCTTGTCTAAATGGCAAAAAAAAAAAAAAAGAAAGATCCATGAACCATTTTGACCATTTCTTCCTTGCCTCTCTTGCCAATATGGTCAATTTTAGTCTCAAAGAATTTTGTGATCTCTACAGGTTTGGGGAGAAGGAAGAGGCTCAAATAATTGATATTGTTCGAGATAAGGAGAATACATGAAAACGAATCATGTACCACTTAAGGACAGACTTTTATTAACTAGTCTGAAGAGAAGCATAGATCTTTTGAAATGTCACAAGATGGACATTGTAAAGTTTATAGAAAAATTAAACAATGGCATACAGTTGTGAGCTATATAAACACTTAATCTGGATTTTGTTGTTTGCTTAAACCACAAAAGAAATCAATTTTAAGCTAAATGTTTTGATCTGTGTAAATTTCCAGCTTCTTTGTATATTTGTTTCTTTATTTAGATCACTACTTAATGTTCTAAGAAAGTATAATGATGTGTAAAATGGCACTTTTATTCAAATTAATCCTGTGTGGATAATCTGTGGGATCTCTTCTAACATAGAAATTCCAAATAACATACATTTAAGACATTCACAATCAAACCCTTGTTCAGTTTTATGATTTTAACCAATATGTAAATTCATCTGCATGGATATATATATTCATTTGCACACACATGTGTATATAGACATATGCACATTATTTATGTATTGATATATAGACAAGTATTTTTCCTGCACCGCCTTACAGAACGTATTTCAGATCTTATTATCTGGCATCATTTAATTCCTGTTACTTACAATATTGGGTTTCTCCTTTTATGAAGTCTTCAAATTCAGAAATTTCTATCTCTCCTTCTCCCAGAGGAAATCCATCTACTCTTCATCGTAAGCAGTGACATGGGCTCAGACCACAAAGGAATGTTATTAGGAGCCAGGTGTCAGTGGCTCATACCTGTAATCTTAGCTACGAGATCTGAGGATCATGGTTCAAAGCCAGCCCATGCAAGAAAAGTCTGTGAGACTCTTATCTTTAATGAACCAATAGAAAACAGGAAGTGGTGCTGTGGCTCAAGTGCTAGAGCACTCGCCTTGAGCTGAAGCGTACAGGGACAGTGCCCAAGCTGAGTTCAAGCCCACAACCAACAACAAAAAAAAGGAATGTTATTAGGACAAACACTGCTTTCCTGAGTGAAATCAGCCCTCCATCTCTGGATTACATTTTTTCCACTACTATCTTCCCTAGGCACTTTGTTCCAGTAACACAGACTTGATATGGAATGCCTGGTATAACCCAGAGTGGTTACTCTTCTCTACATTTTATTAAAGCTCCTTTCTTTCTCTCATGTTTACTTGCATATTACGTATAAAGTGCTTACCCATCCCTTCTAATGGAATTTTTTTTTCCAAAGGGACCTCTGTAGTCTGAGTTAGGGTAAACACTTTTCTTTCAAGCCCTTCCAGTGCCCTGTGGATTCTAGCACCATAGCATCTACCACTGAAATAATAATTTGATTTTCAAACAGTCTGATAATATTTCTCCCTTCCTCAAATTGAAAAAGGGTAGTGAGTTGTACTTTCTTTTTTTTTTTTTTTTTGAATAAGCACCTGCCCACCAAAAATGCTCCATAAGGTTTACCATTGAAGAGAGAACTTAGAGGCATAAAAGTAACCACTCTAGCTGTTTGTCAATCATTATAAGGAGAAGAAGCTGGTCTAGAAAATGGTTCTTGGTTGAAGCCATGTTGTATAACTTTGTAAAGAATCAACGCATTAAAAGCCAGGTGCTGGTGGCTCATGCCTGTAATCCTAGCTACTCAGGAGGCTGAGATCTGAGGATCATGGTTCAAAGCCAGCCAGGGCAGGAAAGTCCATGAGACTCTTATCTCCAATAAAGCACTAGAAAACCAGAAGTAGTGCTATGGCTCAAGTGGTAGAGAACTTGCCTTGAGCTGAAGAGCGCAAGCACAGCACCTAAGCCCAGAGTTCAAGCCCCATGACCAACAACAACAACAAAAAAAAGAAGAATCAACGCATTTGTTGGGAGCCTTAATGGCCATATGCCATAAATACACTGTTCCAGAAGTAAAATTAGGGGCTAAAAGGATGGTTCATGAGGTAGAGCACTTGCCTAGCAAGTCTAAGGCCCAGTTTTGAAACTCTATTACTACACAAACTGGAAAAAAAAAGAATTATGCTACTAATGGAACCTTAAAAGCACTTAATATGCATTAACTCAATTATTTTCAACCCTGACTGTACACAAGAGTGACCTGGGAGTGTTCTGAAAGTACAGGGCCAGGTCCCCAAACAAGGCAAAATCACTGCAGTGCTTACGTGGCTTCTGGGGGAGAGAAAGAGCCCTAGGAAACCCCCTGTAAGAGAATCCATTCATCTGGTTGACATGTTTTCACTGATGTTCCACAGAAGCTAAAATGTTTTCCATGTATGTACAATACAGCCAATAATCCACCAAAAGAGGCAGGGCTTTGCTCATTGTTCAGAAAGACATTGAGGCCCAAGCAGGATAATGGATTTTCTCCTGACATCTATGACACCAGGAAACTCCCAGATTTAAATTCAGGTTGATTAAAATCAGTGTTTCTTCCAGCACCTCCCACTGCCCCTGAGACCCATGTCATAGGTAACTGAACTTCTGACCTCACTCCACTACTGGGTCTGAATTTGGTTGCCTCTCGGGTTAACAAACCACAGGAGATGTGTGTGTGTGTGTGTGTGTGTGTGTGTGTGTGTGTGTGTGTGTGTGTGTCCAATAGAACAGAAGGCAAATAACAATAAGGGAAATACAAGCAGACAAAACTCAGCTACACAGAGTAGAAGAAAAGCCTCTCCAGCAACTAACTGGCTTTCATTATACCATCTGCTACTTCTTGCACCCAAAGAATAGCCAGCCTCTTTCACTTCTATTTTCTTCCTGTTCTACCTGTTTCTCTTAACCAGCCTGACAAGCATGGTAATAGATATTGTGAGTCTACTCCTAAGATTAAACTATACTACCACAAGAAAAAAAGAAAGAAAAAAGAGAACGAAGGCAGGCAGGAAGTCAGATAGGTAGGCAAGCAGGAAAGAAAGAGGAATGAAAAAAAAAAGGGCATTGGTAGCCTAAACCTG